CTACTTCTCCCCGCGTCCCTGTGCCGATCGTGGATGTGGGCGGGCGGGGAGGAGGTGCGGCGTGTGTAGCGTGGATGCGGGCGGGTCTGGCATCGGCGAGCGTGAGGTGGGGCGCGCAACGTGTGTGGAGCTGTGGACAGGGGCACCTTATCAAAAGCCGATTAATCGATTATTGAAAAAGTTGACAACTTTTTCAATCGATTTATAATCGATTATGTCGATTAGTTGTTGCAGTACATATACATATATACATATACATATACATATACATGCGACTCATTGTACTGTTTTTGTGCCTTTTTTGAGCATTTGACTTATTGTATCTCTAGGTAGTGGGCAAGCCCTCTGAGTTTTTATTGATGTGTGTGTGTCGGGAAGATTCTCCCTCAATTTGTACACTTAATCACCTCACTTTCCAAAGTGAAGAGTCACAGCTAGTTTAGTACCTCTCCCCCAGTGTTGTAAGTGCATTGTTTGGCATCACTATTGTACAAATTGTTTTATTTGGGTCTAAAGTAGGGCATGCAATGGTCGAAAATTCAACCACTGTGGGGCCCCATCAACACACCTCCATTTGACAAAAATCTTCTTTTTTTAATTTATCTGCTTTTGTTGAATTTGCCACTCTGAAAATTCTTTGGATGAACAGTAACTGCAGCCGATAGCTGCAGCCTTGCACCGGCCACTGTCGGAATACAATAGCCTGGGGGGACAATCAGGCCCCATTCACACTGAGCGATTCGCAAATATCGCACGATTTGCATTTTGCGCAATATCGCGCAAATGCTTGCATTGAGCAAGCTAGAATCGCGGCAAAATCCGTTTCAAAAAGGGTCCTGCTGTAGCGACGCGTGACAGCGACGGACAGAGCCCCATTGCCATGCATTGGAGAGCAATATCGCGCAGTAAATGGCGGCGATATCGTGGGAATTACCACGCGATAAATCGCTCAGTGTGAATGGGGCCTCACTGTGGATGGGGAAATCGAGTGTATGGCCAGCTTATGATCCCCATTCACACCTAGGTATTCTGTAAATGAATGTCAGGTGTTTTGATGTGCGTTCATGAAATGCTGCAAAAACATGCAACACGCTTCAATGCTATTACTTGTTAGTTGCACACTAAATGCACAAGAAAGAAAAATATGGGGTGACCGTAACAGAATCTGATACATGAGCTACTTTCCTGGATTTGTCACGTGTGGGACACCCATTTAAATAGGGAAGTGTTACAAATGGGGAGGAGGAGGAGACCACATGGATGCATACAAAAGCGAGGTAACTGAGGATGTGATATCTTGTGGTTGTATTGCTGTCTGGGTGATTGTGTTACAGAATTGTGTGCACAGTATTGGCATTCTCTGTGTAGTATGTAGAATTGAAATGTTTCTGGTTCCTTGCAGCAAGATCAGGGTGTTTATCATGGAAAAGTGAGGGATATGATTGGCGCAAATGAACATCGTCTCATTGTTAACCTGAATGACGTGAGGCGGAAAAATGAGCGCAGAGCAAACATGTAAGTTATCTTGTATTGATTAGTAATGTCTTTGTGGATGATGCCCTTTAGTTTGGGATCTCAGGCACCAGTGTGGTGACATTGTGTGTTTTATTATTGTAAATTCAGTAGTTCAGTGACGGTCTTGTCACACCTTTTACATGCTTTAACCCAATGTCAGCCTACAATTTACAGTGGATGTAAACCCTAACAGTGAACTATTATTTGTTCCATTTTTGCGATCTGTTAAGTGCAAAAAACAACTTGATTTTTGTCAGACATTTACAGATGTCCTTTGCACACTTTCTGTATTCTATTAAGGAGTCTAATTGGCTGTCCCAGTTTTCATAAGACTACAGAGTGTCCTAGTAGTTTAGTAAAAGACAACTGGAAATTGTGCAGTCCACAGAAATGCTGTGTTTTTGGCACACCACTGGACTTGGAACCTGAGTGCATTCCTGGAAGATTAATAGTTTATTTTACAGTTCTTGAAGGATCTTTAATGGCTTATTCACAAGGGCGCAGAGATCAGTGAACCATAAAACCCAGGTAGATCTCTGCTTCAGACAGTCGCAGATATTGTGTACAGCCCACCAAGTCAATGTCAGGTTGTGACTGTACCCTGTTAAATGCTGCTCCAAGTAGTGGCATATCTACGGTATGGCAGCCAGGGTATGTGCACTGGGCTCCACTTGATGGGGGCCCTGTTATACTCAGGGACAGTGGCAGAGTTTGTCCCTTTAGTTAACCCGTGCCCCATACAGACCTCTTGTCAGTGCGGGGCCTGTAGTGTTGGACAGCGCAGCTGTCACCGCAAGGAGCCAGGGCACAGCAAGTTACACTAATCACTACTTTTGCTGGCCTCTGACTGATGACTCCTCTAATGCAGAGCTTGGCAGCAGACGCGGGTAGTGTTCCTATCCCCTGGCCCTTTGCTTACATTTGACAACAGCGATCAGCTGCCATGTCTGTCGCTGAGGACCAGTGGACTGATCAGCTGCAGTGTAATTGCAATCAAGGTGCCTGGCATCATCCTTGGGGCCCCAACCAGGGGACTAGTCAGCTAACCTGTCTGTCAATCGTGGAATCATTCTATTAAGGTACAAAAATATATCTGCTAGTACACTGTATATGCCATTATGTACATTCCCTTGTTCCACACCACCTCATTCCATATACCATGCTGTGTGTTCACTATTCCACATTGCCTCATTCCACATGCCATGCTGGACATGTCCTATTCCACACCGCTTCATTCCACATGCCATGCTGGACATTTCCTATTCCACACCACCTCATTTCTTATCTCCTGCTTTCCACACTGCCCCATTTGTATGCCATGCTGTAGTACAAATTATATTCCACACCCTCGTTTTGTGCTGTATGTTACTTATTATGCACCAACCTTAGACCCAGCAGCTCTAGTGTGTGTGTCTGTGCGTGAGCTAGCAACGCTAATGTGTGCCAGAACTGGGGTTTCCGATGTTTGAATGGGCATCATTTCAGTGTTTTTTTCCATAGGCTATTTACCATAGATTTGTCACTGGCTCCACGTGTTTACCTGCACAAAGGTATTGATGATCAGCATCCAGGGCATGTGTCCAAATTTGTATGGCTATACATGCTCGGGATAGTGCTTTACCAGTGTATAGCAGCATGGATTTTGTCATTGCTTTGTACAGGCTGTATGCAACACCTGTGGCTCCTGGGCCAACTGAGTTTTATGGTACATTGACCTCTGCACCTTTGAGAATGAGCCCTATAGGAATAAAGTATGAGGAAGTGCTGTGAAGTTGCATAAAAGATGTCCATTTTACTGAAAGTGCTATCTGAGCAGTTCATTAAAAATGTAGGATAGGTCTCCTTATATGTCCTTTGGTGTCTTGCGTAGAGGCTACAACCAGACTTATGGTGCTCGGGGCTGCAGGGATGGATGGACTTGGATGTTCTCACACCGAAGTACTTTACATCCACTCCATTCTTGTCTGCAACCGTCTTCTGGTTTGGTTATAGCTTCTAGCCAGAAGCAATAGGGGAATGGGTGCTTCAGCTACTATATTGAGTACACGTATCGCTCACAAGTGCATTTCTGCAATATACAGGTGAGCAGTTATGATGTTCCACCAGATTGCTACCATTTGACATTCTACATTTAATTGTGCCCCCCTAAAATAGAAGACCTTTGCATAAATTCTAAACTTGTCAGTTTCCGGGGAAATTGTTTCTGGATGATTTCAGTGTAGCTATTGAACTTTGTGCAATCTGTCTAATTCCGTCTACTGCTAACAGTACTGAGCCTATGATCATAAATGTCCATAAAAATAAGTGAATCCTTTTATATGTCAACTATTTTGTTGATGTATTTTACTGGTTTCCCAATGACTCCAAAATTACTTCTGAGATTTTTTTTTTTTTAATGCTGTTTGCATGCATAGGTATCATATAGTTTTCAATTTTCTTTCATGCAGATTGCTCAATGATGCTTTTGGAGAGGTTATCGCCTTTCAAAGAGCACTAAAAGACCTGGTAGCTTCAATCGATGCAACGTACGCCAAGCAGTTTGAAGAGTTCAGCGTTGGATTTGAAGGCAGCTTTGGAGGAAAGCATGTGTCTCCTCGTACTCTGACTGCTGGATTATTGGGAAGTTTAGTCTGTGTTGAAGGAATTGTAACAAAATGTAAATGTAAACTTTAATTCCTACTGAGATCTGTGAATTCCCCTTCAGCCAAAGAGGCTGGTTGTCTGTACTTGTGGACTAGATGAGCTTAAAGAGCTGGTGTCTGCTTTAGTATATTGGTGCCCACTTAGTTATCGATATGCAAATCTTCAAAAGTGGTCTCTGCAAATCTCTTGCCTCTAGTTAATTTTTGTTTAGTGCGCATACAATATTCTCTGTCCATTTTCATTACTATTTTTTGTGTGGTTGTCTCAGATGCTCTTCAGCCAAGCACCACATGGTAAAATGGAAATATGTTCTAACCTCTGCACCATGGAAATGGTCTCTTAATACCTACATTAAGAGGCCATAGTAACATTTACCAGTAGCTGAACTCCAGGCACAAAAAACATTCTTCTAAATGTATTCCTCAAAAGCCTCAAAATATGTAAATCCACTTTGTGTGCAACAAATGCCTTTACAAAAAAAAAAAATATTACCTTGTTAAAAGAGTGGTGATATTATTGTGCTGACCATAGCTTGTGCAGAGAGCAGAGCGGTAGGAGGGTCCCAGCAGGCCCCACCCACTACAGGCTGCCTGCAGAAAACAGGAGGGGCAGATACAAGACCAGTCACCATGCACAAGGCGACAGCAGCTGTGACTGGTCTTTATTACAGGTAGATCCTGCTCAACATTGTACACTGGATTACTGCACAGACCTACAAAAAATACACATCACATCATGATACAAGTAAGATTACACATGCCTCTCGTTCCACGGAGTTTCTAGTTGGAAACTTGTGTTTTAAATGTATTTTCTGGGCTGTCAGGTGATACAAAAAGAGGCTATAGCTACCTTTTGGTGCATAAAGTAGCATAAAAGCACTGGTTATGAGACTTCTGGTTCTGTTGTAAACGAATGAAATATAAAACATGGCAATTAGTAATTTGTGCAAACGTTAGATGGATAGAGTAGTCATGTACTATCATCTTGTCCAATTGTTTTCTAAGCAAATCTTTTTAGCAAAAAATCCATACAGTATATCTAAGGGATGTGCCCAGTGAATATACATTGCTGTATTGGCTTTGGATGTGCAGTAGAAAAGGGAGACATGTTGCCCTACAGTGCTGGTCATCATTTTAAATAAACTGTCTGGTGGGGTTTTCCCCTCTTCTACACCTTATATGTAGCCCCTGCTGGTGTGCTTTTGCATAGTTTGCACCTTTCTGCTGCTTCATTCTAGGTTCCTTAGTACGACCTAAAGTCATGAGAAGTGTTCATTACTGCCCAGCTACAAAGAAGACGATGGAGAGAAAATACTCTGATCTTACCACCTTGGAGGCATTTCCATCTAATGCAATTTACCCCACTAAGGTAGGTGATTTTTGACTTGAACATTAGATTTCCCTATGTGCAATGTTTCTCGGTGCAAGAAATAACTGGGGTTTGTCTGGCCATTAGTCCTAGTGCCCTTGTCTGGCCACTACTCGGCGTGTCCTGGTGCCCTTGTCTGGCCACTACTCGGCGAGTCCTGGTGCCCTTGTCTGGCCACTACTCGGCGTGTCCTGGTGCCCTTGTCTGGCCACTACTCGGCGTGTCCTGGTGCCCTTGTCTGGCCACTACTCGGCGTGTCCTGGTGCCCTTGTCTGGCCACTACTCGGCGTGTCCTGGTGCCCTTGTCTGGCCACTACTCGGCGTGTCCTGGTGCCCTTGTCTGGCCACTACTCGGCGTGTCCTGGTGCCCTTGTCTGGCCACTACTCGGCGTGTCCTGGTGCCCTTGTCTGGCCACTACTCGGCGTGTCCTGGTGCCCTTGTCTGGCCACTACTCGGCGTGTCCTGGTGCCCTTGTCTGGCCACTACTCGGCGTGTCCTGGTGCCCTTGTCTGGCCACTACTCGGCGTGTCCTGGTGCCCTTGTCTGGCCACTACTCGGCGTGTCCTGGTGCCCTTGTCTGGCCACTACTCGGCGTGTCCTGGTGCCCTTGTCTGGCCACTACTCGGCGTGTCCTGGTGCCCTTGTCTGGCCACTACTCGGCGTGTCCTGGTGCCCTTGTCTGGCCACTACTCGGCGTGTCCTGGTGCCCTTGTCTGGCCACTACTCGGCGTGTCCTGGTGCCCTTGTCTGGCCACTACTCGGCGTGTCCTGGTGCCCTTGTCTGGCCACTACTCGGCGTGTCCTGGTGCCCTTGTCTGGCCACTACTCGGCGTGTCCTGGTGCCCTTGTCTGGCCACTACTCGGCGTGTCCTGGTGCCCTTGTCTGGCCACTACTCGGCGTGTCCTGGTGCCCTTGTCTGGCCACTACTCGGCGTGTCCTGGTGCCCTTGTCTGGCCACTACTCGGCGTGTCCTGGTGCCCTTGTCTGGCCACTACTCGGCGTGTCCTGGTGCCCTTGTCTGGCCACTACTCGGCGTGTCCTGGTGCCCTTGTCTGGCCACTACTCGGCGTGTCCTGGTGCCCTTGTCTGGCCACTACTCGGCGTGTCCTGGTGCCCTTGTCTGGCCACTACTCGGCGTGTCCTGGTGCCCTTGTCTGGCCACTACTCGGCGTGTCCTGGTGCCCTTGTCTGGCCACTACTCGGCGTGTCCTGGTGCCCTTGTCTGGCCACTACTCGGCGTGTCCTGGTGCCCTTGTCTGGCCACTACTCGGCGTGTCCTGGTGCCCTTGTCTGGCCACTACTCGGCGTGTCCTGGTGCCCTTGTCTGGCCACTACTCGGCGTGTCCTGGTGCCCTTGTCTGGCCACTACTCGGCGTGTCCTGGTGCCCTTGTCTGGCCACTACTCGGCGTGTCCTGGTGCCCTTGTCTGGCCACTACTCGGCGTGTCCTGGTGCCCTTGTCTGGCCACTACTCGGCGTGTCCTGGTGCCCTTGAATAGATCGAGAAGTGAGCAAGCGACGGTATGTGTCTGATCTACTCAGCCGACCTGTGACAGTTTCATTGTCACAGGTCGGCTCAGATTGAGGCTGAGTGAAAATCACTTGCCTCATAATTCTCTAAGGTGGAATCTGTGTAAAAAGTGAGTTTGTGACAGTGTTTTTAAATGGATATTGGATATTTGTGCTGGGTAACTAGTTTTGACTTTATGATATCAGCCAAACTAGCATTTTCAGAGTGTTCAGGTGCTCTGCTGAATAACAACAACAATATCTGTTTCTTTGAGGTAGGATGAAGAAAATAATCCTCTGGAGACAGAATATGGGCTGAGTACTTACAAGGATCACCAGACTCTGACCATACAGGAGATGCCGGAGAAGGCCCCTGCAGGACAGCTCCCCCGCTCTGTAGATATAATTTCCGATGATGACTTGGTGGACAAGTGCAAACCGGGTGACCGCATCCAGATAGTGGGAATATATCGCTGTCTTCCTTCCAAGCAGGGAGGGTACACATCTGGTACATTCAGGTACAAAAGGTTTGAAGTGAAATGCCACATTTTATGTTGGAGGAAATGTAGATGCTTCTAGGGTGCTTATACTTTTCATTAATATACTTTTCATGCATTGTAGTGTGTGATTTTAAAGTGACATTAAACCCTCAGATGTTTTAACATAAAACAATACTGTAATGTGTGCCTTACTGTAATCCATGGTTGTTTCCCTTCTCAATGTTAAAAAAATCTGAGGGTTTAATGTCACTAAGGTTTTCTTGCAGGAAAACAGACCAGTGTGAATAGGCTCTTACAGATAAACCTCACTTAACCAGTTGACATCCGCGGTGTTAAACCCCCTTCCCATGGCGGCACCCGCGATCGCGCGGGGGGGGGGGCTCCGAAATTCACGCCATACAACCGATCAGCGGCTATAGAGCCGCTGATCGGTTGTATGTGAAACAGCCGTTAACGGCTGTAGTAACAAGCGGGTCTTTCCTGCCCGTGCGCGCGCGCTAGGGGGCGCGCGCGAGCAGGAAAAAAATGCCGTCTGACGACGGCAACCCGCAGATAGGAGTCAGCCGTCCGTCCGTTTTTTCTTAACGGGCGGATGGCAAGAGGTTAAGGTGCCGATTTTCGGACGATAATCGCGGGTGATCATGCAATCGTACGATAATCGGCAGGTGTATGGGCAGCGTGCGACCACTTCTACTGTAAGGTCGCACGACTTTCATCTTCTGAGCACGCTGGAAAACCTGCCGAAAAATGTAAGATTTTCGGCGGGTTGGTGGAGTGCTCGGAAGACTAATGCCGCACGGGCCGTTTAGCACTGCAATCATCGGAAGCCCTCACCTCAGTGAGGAGGGCTTGCGATGATCGCAAGTAAGATCTGCCTGTCCAAGATTGGCAGATCGCACGAAATTTGAATCCCCTGGCTTACAACCATCGCACAATGAAAAGTTGTAACGTGTATGGGCAGCTTTACATGGACTTATCATTTTCATGGTTAGAAGTTTTACATACTGTATTACGCTTTTCTCAGATTCTGGTGTTTTATTCTGGGCCAACCTACACTTAGGGACTGATTTATAAATGTTACCTGTATATGTTGGCACATGCTGTTTGCACGGCACTAGCATCTCTAGATGGAGGAGCCTAGGAAATTTGCTTCCTGTTTTACCTGAATGCATACGTCTCTTCTTGGGTTATGGGATGCATAGTGTATGACTAGCAATTAAAATCTGCTTTCAGATATTCCAATTCCATACACATTTGGTCAGATGGCTAAAACAATGCACCTTAAAGTAGAACAGTTGCTCATAAGTAGTCAGGTTCCTACTTTAATTTATTAGTGAATAAAAGATGATCTCTAGTCACAGTGGGCAGTGTCTGCAACTGTTCTGCTGATTTCCTTGCTGTAGTGACCAGAGAGATGTAAATTGGTGAAGAATGATTAATCGGTATTGAAAATTGGCACGTCATTGTCCTGATTGGGATAGAATGTTTTATTGTTCTTGTGAAGACTTGTGTGGTATTGTGTCCTATATTTTTGAATTAGTTTTCCATGCATGTGAAATGTTTGTGATCACTGCTTAAAAGAGAACTATGGGGTCAGTGTTTTTCCCCATAGTTCTCCTTAGGGTAACGGGAGGACACAAACTAGCTTCCTCCCGTTACCCTAAGCTCAGTATACCGCGAGCTACAGCTCGCGGTATACTGAGACGCCGGAGCGGATCCCGACATAGATGACTGGATCCGCCCAGCTGTGTGAGTGACGGCTGGCTCTGCCTATCTAGAGGCAGAGCCAGCTGTACCCGCACCCTCCCCCGTCCGTTCCGCCAGTCAGCACTGGCAGATCGGAGCGGGGAATCCAGCCCCTCTCCCTGTCACGGCAGATAGCCGTGACAGGATCGAGAGGTGAGCGAACCTGGTATGTGTTTGCTCACCTCCCGATCTACTGAGCCGACCTGTGACAGTCTCATTGTCACAGGTCGGCTAGAACTATGAGGTGAGTGGAAATCACTCATCTCATAGTTCTCTAAGTGTCGGTGTTAATGTTTGCCCACGGTTGAGAGTTGGGGTATGTTATTCAGTGCATTTGTTATATCTTGTAGGATAAATACTCCAACAGTACAGTAACCCATACCTACTTTGTATATTTGTAGTCTTGTAGGCTGTCCATGGACACCTGTGCATTTTCTAACCCTTGTAAGGTGCCAACATTGCCCTGTGGATAAACAAATATTACAGCTCATGTGAACCCAAGTGTAATGGTTTTCTGTGTGGTATTGGTTTTCAATTGCTGGTAACTCTCGAAAAAGGTTATTTTTCTGGCTTCAAAAGTCAGAGACCTGGAACAAGCTTGCTAAAATCAAGTCTGAGAAAGATCTAAATGTCTAATGCCTAGTCCAAGACTGCTGAAACCAAGGAGTCTGTATCACAGACAGTTGGTATGTAGTGGTATGATGAGAGAGAAATGAGCACTGCCAGCTTGTTTACTTGTGTAGTGGGAGTACATTTTCAGCTTGTTTTATTAAGCTCTCTAAGCAGTTTTACCTTTCAGCAGAAGATGAGGAGAAAAAAACAAAAAATCGGTAAACTGCTGGCTTATTTTATTTTTAAAAAAAAGTATGTTCACACCCACTTAAACATTTTTTTACTGCAGGACAATCTTGTTGGCCAACAACATCAAGCAGATGAGCAAGGAGATTGCACCAACATTTTCAGCTGATGATGTAGGGAAGATCAAGAAGTTTTGTAAAGCGCATTCCAAGGTATTAGCAGATCAGAGCTTACCCTTTCAGCTAGTGATAGTCATGTAACTCGTACAACTTTGTTTTATTTTATTGCAGGATGTTTTTGACCAGTTGAGCAAATCTCTAGCTCCCAGCATTCATGGTCATGAGTATATCAAAAAAGCCATTTTGTGCCTGCTTCTTGGAGGCAATGAAAAGGTTCTCGAAAATGGAACACGTATAAGAGGAGATATCAATGTTCTTCTAATAGGTAAAAAAAAATAAGACTAAAAAAGGTTTCTGAAAATGTTATCTAAAGTGACTTTAATTTTGACCTTTTAGGAGATCCTTCTGTTGCAAAATCTCAGCTTTTACGTTATGTCCTGCACACGGCTCCAAGAGCAATTTCCACCACTGGTAGGGGATCCTCTGGAGTAGGGCTGACAGCGGCAGTGACAACTGATCAGGAAACAGGCAAGTGATTGTAGTGTATTATTTTTCTCCATCTCTATATTAAATTGATCAGTTTGGAGAGGACAAATGGAAGGCAGTGGTAACAATTAGAGGACATATGTCAATTGGTGATGGGTAACTCCTGTGGGGCGAGGCGCTGCCTTCCTCCCTGCTCTTCCACTATCTCCAAACAAGTGCTCCCTACAACAGCAGCACTGGATGATTTGTCCTTTTGAGCACAGTGTAGCTGCTCTGGAAAAGAGCCTCATGCATTTTACTTTTTATAATCCTGTACCACCAAATATTTTTATTTTTTTACTGATATCTGCTTGAAAATGCTTTTAAAAAAAAGGCTAAAAAAATGTGCTTTCTGCCCTCACTCTACAGTGTTCTATGTTGGTATAATCTAGGGCTACAACAATGCCGGTATAGAGTATTGAATTTTTTATTTCACCCCCCCCCAGTACTCGCCAAAACAGAGTACCAGTGCCGTGTGTCCCGATTATCAGAAAGTCGGGCAATGGATCATGACCCGTCGCCCAGCTTCCTGATTGCCTGTGAAGCCGGTGTTCTAGCGAAACAACACCGGCTTCACTTGTGTCTCAGCTTCCTGATTGGTCAGGAAGCCTCAGCAAGTTGTGACCTGCCACCTGGCTTCCTGATTGGCTAGTAAACCAGCATGGCTTGTTCATAGGCAGCCCGGCTTCCTAACCAATCAGGAAGCTGGGTGGCACGTCATGACTCATGTCTCAGCTTCCTGGTTGGTCAGGAAGCCAGGCAACCTCAGCAAGTGAAGCCGTTGTTCTTTTGCTAGAACACCAGCTTCCTAGGCAATTAGGAAGCCGGGACGCAAGTCATTATGTGCCGCCCGGCTTCCCGATTGGTTAAAAAGCCAGGCCGCCTAGCAACAAGTGAGGCCGGCTTCCTGATTTTAAAGGAAGCTGGCTACATGCACCCTCAGCATTGCGGGACAGGGGGGGTTCTCCCTCTGACCAGAAGTTTCAGTATCGGAACTTTTGGGCAAACACGAGTACTTGCCCAAATACTCTATCGGTGCATAGCTAGTTTAAAATTACTGGCCCCACCGCTCATCACAAACCTCTTTTACGTATAACTGTGGTGCTGAAAGAAAGGATGGTGTGCCTGACCAAGTTTGCTAGATTTCACTGGGCATTGTGGTCAGTCTGCCGATTTTTGTATTCATATTTGCATTCATGTTGCGTCATGATTGAACATTTTTTTTCTTGTTTTCTAGGAGAGAGGCGCTTGGAGGCTGGCGCCATGGTTCTGGCTGATAGGGGTGTTGTTTGTATTGATGAGTTTGATAAAATGTCTGACATGGACAGAACCGCCATCCATGAAGTGATGGAACAAGGACGGGTAACCATAGCAAAAGCTGGAATTCAAGCAAGGCTAAACGCTCGGTGCAGTGTCTTGGCTGCTGCAAATCCTGTCTATGGAAGGGTAGGTTCTATGGGACAGGCTTCCAAAATTGTTTTAATGGATTATTCCCCATTCCCAAATAACCAGTTTTCATATGCTCAGAAGACACTCATGCACAGGATTTCTGAAAGCGGCTTTCCAACTCTGCAATGTTAAAGGTAAACTCTCTGGTATGTCACCGTAATCATCCCCTAGGCCAGGGGTAGCCAAACTCCGGCCCTCCAGCTGTGGTGAAACTACAAATCCCATGATGCATCTCTCTCCATGAGTCATGTCTGTGCTGAGATTGTCTTGCAATGTCTCATAGGATTTGTAGTTCCACCACAGCTGGAGGGCCAGAGTTTGGCAGCCCCTGCCCTAGGCAAAACAAACCTTTAACCCTTGCAGTAGAGAGGGGCATTTGTTTTTGTTTACGATATTAAATATCCTTTGTGATGCTGTAGTTTTTTTCTTCGGTTACTAGCTAAAAATAGGATACCCCTAAGAAAATATTCTTGTTCTTACCCTTTCCTTTCACTCATATCTATTCAGTATGATCAGTACAGGACTCCTATGGAAAACATTGGCTTACAAGACTCACTGCTATCAAGATTTGATCTACTTTTTATTGTTCTGGATCAAATGGATGCAGACAATGACCGTGAAATTGCTGACCATGTACTGCGAATGCACAGATATAGGACTCCTGGGGAGCAGGATGGATATGGTATGCTTTCCATTATTTAATGTAAATGTAAACACACTTTGCGGTGTTCTCTTGTTTGATCACTTCTAGAACAACATAGATCATAGTTTTATATCTCTTTGATTGATTTTTGTTTTTTTAAAGCAATTATTTTTGGGTTATTTTAACAGCAATGCCTCTTGGGTGCAGTGTTGAGATTTTTGCTACAGATGACCCTAATGCCAGTGACCTGACCGATCAGGAGTTGCAGATCTATGAAAAACATGACAACCTCCTTCATGGACCACGTAAAAAGTTTGTAGATTCAATGAGTGGGCTTTTAATATTTGGTTTTAGTACATTATCGGAGTTGGTCTATTGATGAAATATTACATTGAAATGTAAATTTATCTTTTAACCCTTTCGCTGCCAAGCCCTCGAAAATTTTTCAAATCAGCTGGCCAAGCCATTTTTGAATTTTCTGCAATTTTTTCCAATTGGAAGTACTTATAGTAGAACTGTAAATGCCAGGTCCGTACGACGTACTGAGCTGGCCAGCTGGAAGCACTTTTGTAGCTCCGTACGACGTACGTCCTTAGCAGCGAAAGGGTTAATCATGATTTACTAATTTAAAATTCTCCTGAATAGGCTTGAAGTAATTTTGAGACCATTTTTGGGAGGGTCGGGGGAATTACAATTTCATCTTAATAGTGTACCATATGTTTATACTGTGTATGAAAGTGGGATGTTCAACTTCAAAGAGAAGCAGTTTATGACTAATTGGAATTCAACCTGTACTGAGAGAAATATGTTGGCTGCCTCTGCTAACTCCTAATAAAAATGTTTTCATTGCTTTCACCCTGACCCTGTGGCTTCAACACTGCGATATTAGCCAGGAAGAAAAATATGCAGATCAGAAGTTCTGAAATTGCTTGCGGCAAACTTGCATTTCTCTAATAACTCAAAGTAATAAAGCTCTTTAGAAAGAGTTAAGCAGCCACAAGCTATTTCTCATGCTACAGGTTCCAATTAAATATAATATCGCATGCTTACCTGGAAAATTGCTTTTATTTTTGCACTCTTCTACCTTTTACTTTTTCTCCAAAGACTTGTCTGGAGCCGAGAGGCCGATCCGACCGACCAGTCGCTATGTAGATGTATTTACTAGTAAACCTCTCTCTTAGATTATTTAGCGATAGATTTGACTTTCTTTACATCTTAGTTTCTTGTAATGTGTGAGGGTTTTTTTTTTTTCTTTGAAGCAAAGCGAAGATTGTTAGCATGAAGTTTATACGGAAATATATCCATGTTGCCAAGTTGATGAAGCCTGTTCTGACACATGAGGCAGCAGATTACATCTGTCAGGAATATGCCAAGATCAGGAGTCATGATGAAACGAATAATGACCGTGCAAGGGTATGTGGATTTTAATAGGGTATACTTCTGTGCAGCTAATGTTTAATCTTTTTAATCTTTTAAATTTCAAGTGGTCAGTGTTCCACTTGGTAAAGTAAAGTGAGACAGTGTGTGTTTACATTTGAAAGAATCCATTTGTTTGGAATTTCTGTTCCTTTTGTGCACAATGATTATTTTCCTTTCTTCTCTTTTTCCATGAAAAGTCTGCTCAGCTCTGGGCTCGGGGACTGTCCTTTAGTGTCTGTTTTTAGGATCTGCTTCACGCATGACCTTTCTTGACAAGAGGTTAAACAGTAGAATGATGTTTTACTAGAAGGGATGAGAAACTTTGAAACCTAATAAAAAGGGGTATGTAGTAACAAGGTCCAAAGATAGATGCTGCATTTCAACATTCAGAATAGTCTGTTCTAGTGGCCAAATAAACCTTTGGGACAAATGAACTGTAGAAATTGTTTTAACTTATACAGTCCTACTTCCCAGCTAGTCATGAGTATACAGATTTAATGACTTGGTAAAAAAGAGAAAAAAGCTATAACATATGTTGCAGACACTTGGATATTTGCAACCAGCTGTTTAATATTGTTGGTGTTATTTGCTTCCTGCTGTTTACTATTGGTGTTAAAACAATGTTGTGTGGGTTGCAAAACATGTTGCATCAGATTTTACATCTTTAGATGTATACATTTAACAGTCGGAACTTTCTTGACTGGCAATATTGGTTAGGATTAGGGGTTTATTAATAGGTTCCTGAAATTTAACCCATTTCAACAATGTACAGTGGCTTGCAAAAGTATTCAACTCCCCTTGGCATTTTTTCTATTTTGTTTGCATTACCACCTGGAAATAAAATGGATTTTTATTTGGATTACATGTAATAGACATAGACAAAATCTTCAAATGGTGAAGTGAAATCAAAAAATTTAACTTTTTTTTTTTTTAACAAATTATAAAAAAAACAAACTGAAAAGTGCTGCGTGCATACAGTTTGTATTCTCACCCCCTTTGCTATGAAGCCTCTACATAAGAACTGGTGCAACCTACCTTCAGTCACATCATTAGATAAAGACCACCTGTGTGCAATCAAAGTGTCACGTGATCTCAGTATATATACACCTGTTCTGGAAGGCCCCCGAGTCTGCAACCCCATTGAGCAAGGGGCACCACTAAGCAACTGGCACCATGAAGACCAGGGCACTCTTCAAAACAGGCCAGGGGCAAAGTTCGAGAGAAGTACAGATCAGGGTTGGGTTAAAAAAAATAATTATAATCTGAAGCTTGGAACATCCAACAGAGCACCATTAAATCCATAAAAAAATGGAAAGAATATGGCACAGCAACAAACCTGCCTAGAGAGGGGGCTGCCCACCAAAACTCACGGACCAGGCAAGGAGGGCATTAATCGGAGGCAACAAAGATCTAAGATAACCCTGAAGGCGCTGCAAAACTCCACAGCAGAGATTGGAGTATCTGTCCGTAGGAACACTTTAAGCTGTACACTCCACAGAGCTGGCATTCATGGAAGAGTGGCCAGAAAAAAAAGCCATTGCTTACAAAAAAGTAAGCAAACACATTTGCTGTTTGCCAAAAGGCATGTGGGAGACTCCCGAAACATATGGAAGAAGGTACTCTGGTCAGATGAGACTAAAATTTAGCCTTTTGGCCTTCAAGGAAAACAAGACTTCTAAAAAAAATAAATTGGGGACCATAAAGAGAACCCATCCGGGTGCGTAACTTGATCATTAGCATCTTTTAATGCACTCTCATATGAAGCAGTGTTTTGTGCTCATGATATTTGCACTAGCGGCCTCCCAGTAGCTTCCCCTTCCTCCCAATACCTTTTGACTAATAAACAATGTACTCCTAACTTTTTGTAGTATGATAGAATCTAAATAGTCTTGTGCCTTACGCCAAGCTCTACACGTACTTTCATTAGGATCCTAAACAAACTAGGTTTCAATACTGGCCAGTATAGAAAAATGAACAAAACAGTGTTCAAATAGTACATAAACAAAACAAACTCCACATAGAAGCCAAATGGGGGGTTCAAGACGTTCTCATCCACCCATATGCAGTGCATGGTGCCATCAGCACACTACTTTGGCTGCACTGTCCTCTGCTATAACAGATCCCTGAAAGTCTCAATGATCATCTGTCCAGGAGCTCGCCTGTCCAACCAGGCCGAAACTAATGAGGGATTTTCAAAGAAAACTGTCTCTACAATTTATCCTGCAAAATTGTGAGCTATTGACAATGTGCGTTTGCGACAAATAAAAGTACAATACTCTCCAAACAGTCTCTGCCCATAGTTTCCAATAGCCACTTTTCCATAAAGAACACAGGATTTAAACCCTCAACATGTTCCGGAATGCCAGCTGCTCTGATGTTTCGCTGTAGTCTATTTTCTATGTCTTCAACTTGAAAGAGTTGGCAGTAGATCTTTGCATGGTAAGTTTGAGGTCAGCACGCATAGTGCTTCAAGGTCACAAACTCTGCTTTCTAATTCAGCAATCCTCTTACCTTCTGTATCACTTGTCAGAGAAATGTGATATCTGCCCTCATAGCTTGCACTTGTTCTAACCCCCAAGACTTCTCATCACCCTAACACTATCCCCAGAGTGAAGCATGGCGGTGGCAGCATCATGCTGTGGGGATGTTTTGTTTTTTTTTGTTTTTTTTTTTATCAGCAGGGACTGGCAAACTGGTTAGAATTGAAGGGATGATGTATGGTGCTAAATACAGAGAAATTTCCTAAGGGAAACCTGTTTCAGTCTTCCAGAGACTTGAGACAGGGAAGGAGGTTTACCTTCCAGCAGGACAATAACCCTAAGCAATTTGATAAGGCAACTTTTAAGGGGAAACCTTTTAAACTTCTTAATGGCTTAGTCAAAGCCCAGACCTCAATCCAATTGAGATTCTGTGCATGACTTAAGGAATTGCTGTACATAGGCAAAACACGTCCAACTTGAAGGAGCTGGAGCAGTTTTGCCTTCAACAATGGGCAGAAATCCCAGTGGCTCGATGTGCCAAACTTAGAGACATTCCCCCAAGAGACCTGCAGCTGTAACTTCTGCAAAAGGTGACTCTACATAGTATTTTGCAGGGTGAATAGTTAGCACTCTTACATTTTTTTTTTTCTGGTGGTGTTTTTTTCTTTTTTTTGCATCACAAGAAAATATTTTTTTGCATCTTCAAAGTGGTGGGCATGCTGTGTAAATCCAATGATACAAACCCCCAAAGAATCAATTTTAATTCCAGGTGATAATGCAGCAGAATAGGAAAAAGTGGGGTGAATACTTTTGCAAGACACTGTATAAACCCCTTTTGTAGTCTAACTTTGTAGACGTTAATGAGACTTTTGGGTTTAAAGAGAAATGTTTACTCCTAAGGGCATTTATTCTACATCTCTCTCCAGCAGCACATCTAAAAGTCAATTTTAAAAGAATTACCGGAGTCCTGCACCAGCAATTGCTTTGGGCAGCCCCTATAAGAAGCCCACATTGCGGCCGGCTCCCTATTTTGTGTTCAAAATAGTGCTTGCAGCATTTTGAACGCACACCGCACGGAACGCACTGCAGGCACAATGTGCCCTGCGGTTGCCTTGCAGTCGATCGCATTGCGGCCACAGGGTGTGGCTACGGTGCCATTCACTTCAATGGCCCGCCACGCCCCCTCGTGCCCAGCAAAATAGGGAGCCGGCCGCAATGCGGGCAGTGAGTTCCGGAATCGGACCGGAACGCACTGCTGATGGTGTGAACTAACCCTAAACAACCTGTTCTGTCAGCAGAGTTGAGTTGCTCTCCGAGATTTGATTGACAGACTTTTATACTAGGTGTTGCCAGGCATTACAAAAAGGACTTTCTGCACCTGCAAGACTGCTATGACAAATAAGTACTTGACTTTTTAGAAGGTAGAGCTTTTTATTGTGGATTTTAATTCATGTTTGGTTGTTGCTGCTGTTCTTGCTCACAGGGCAAGTTATCAAGTATACTGGCTTCCAGCTATTAAAGAAAATGTCTTTATTCTCTTCAATAGACTATGCCTGTTACTGCTAGAGCACTTGAAACCATGATCAGACTGGCCACTGCTCATGCTAAAGTTAGGATGAGCAAAACAATTGAACTCCAGGATGCTGAAATGGCTCTTGAGCTTATCCAGTTTGCTTATTTTAAGAAGGTATGTATAATCTCAGACTGACCAACTTCCCACTCAAATGTTAGGTGTTAATGACATATTTGATATTTGCTTTGTCTGGTGTGCATAGTATGAAGGTATCATGCAAGCTGAAATTTAAAATTTAGAACAGGTAGGCATGTACATAACATGGACACTTGTAGCAGCTGTTTAGATTGACCCTTCACACAGTGGGTTAATGCATTCTGATTGTGATGGTCAATTGTACAATCCCCTTTTTTTAAAATTCCTTCTTGCATTGCCTTTTAATGTCTACTATTGTAAAACAATTTTAAAATGGAGATCATTCTGAGTATTTGAAATGTAAATATGATGTTCCTTAAGGTCTTGCCAAAGGAGAAGAAAAAAGTTGAGAAGGATATTGACCTAAGCCAAAGCCAAGAGACCCCAAGTCAGGAGGGCATAAGGTGCGTAAACTAATCAGATCTTTTCTTTTCAGATTGGTGGGTTGGGAGGTCTGTTATAGACTTTGTTTTCATTTTACAGGAAAAGCTCTAGGCGAGCAGGAAAAATGTCAGATTCGCAGGAATCAACGGACCCCTATGCTTTTAGTCAAGATGGTGGCAGTCTAAATGAATGTAAGCTTTTCAGGTTTTTATTTAATTTTTATTTAATTTTTTCACTTTGGATGCCATGAGAAAAAAACACTAAAATAGAAATGCTTTGTGCTGAGTTTGGTGTGTAATTTTTCTGCTGCTTTTATTCCCTCTTATGCCTTTTGCATGGGTCTTGGTGATCTGTTACTGACTATGAATCACATGTCACTATAATTTTAAATATGAACAATGTGCAAGCAGACTTTACACCAGTAACAGTAGAGAAGGCCTTCTATAAGGTTGGCTTTGGTGACACTTTGTTGGTGAAGGATTAGCCAACCACAGAAGGAAACTTTCAACCTGCTATGATTTGTCCTGCCATGCCCATTTCTCATGGTGGAAGTGGGAACTTGAACTCGTGCGTCACACCCAGGATGGTGGATTTATCATTGAGTGCATATAAAAGTAACAAAAGCTGGTTACACTCCCTTCCCATTTTGGATTTAAAATGATGCTGCCTACACCAGTTGAATCAAATTGAGGATAGTTTTCTTTTGATTATGAGCATTAAAGAGGAACTTTACCCATATCTTCAAAATAACAACAAAGACACCTTTTAGAAATGTTTAATAATGACAATCTACAAACACATGCATACTTATAGGTAATTGCCGGCTTTTTATTTTTTGCATGCATTTTGTTTTTCTTTTTCTCTCCATTCTTACAATGGCCATTTTTACTAGGTGCAGATGAATCCATCTCCCTTTACTTCCTGGAACTCTGGCACATGCACATCTCAGAAAAATGCCTTTTCCTGAATTCTTGTGAGATTACAGATTAGACTAAATGACCAAAGGGATCACACATTCAGTGTAGGCTAATGCCATTCATCTTTACTGCAGCTAAACAGACTGTAGCAAAAGAATGGAATTCTGATATCCTAAATCCTCAGGTCAAAGTCAGTGTCATGGTTGATGATCAATGATAACATGACTGATACTAAACGACAAAATGGCCGCCTTTTGAGAAGGTGCAGTCCCCAAGTCTTTAGATCCTTCAGTTAGCCCTTGGAATACTCGGAATAGTCCTCTGACTGCAGCCCCCCTTCCCCCACCCTCTCCCTACCTTCCTACCCTGTCTTGTGTTTTCAGACTTCTTGCTCAATGGCTGATCTGTGGAATAACCTTCATGGTTAAACTCCTTAGCTCTTTGAAACTAAAACCTATTTGCATCATTGTAGAGTTATAACAGATGTGTATGTGTGTGTGTGTGTTGTGTGTGTTGTGTTGTGTGTGTTGTGTGTGTTGTGTGTGTTGTGTGTGTTATGTTATAATATAATATATTTCGTATTTTGCGGTCCATAAGACGCACCGGACCATAGGATGACACAGAGCAGGCGAAGAACGTCTATTCTTCGTCTGCTCTATGGTTATCTCGATCGTCGCCGCTGCTCGGTTTTAATAAGAGTGATCTCATTAGATCACTCGTATTAAACGAGCAGTGGCTCCTGCTGCTGAACTCGATCGCCGCCGCTCGGCTTTAATACGAGTGATCTCGTTAGATCACTCGCATTAAGCAAGCAGTGGCTCCTACTACTTGCCTGGCGGCCGAAACTGCATGTCTCGGGCGTCGGGATTCGCTCCATAAGACGCAGGCACTTTTTCCCCCTCCTTTTGGGGGGAAAAAAGTGCGTCTTATGGAGCGAAAAATACGGTGTATACACACACATATACACACACATATACACATACACATACACACACACTACTTCGTTGGGCCACGAGATGACTCTGTTGGGCCGCCTCGTGACTCCACGAGATGTTGAAAGGTGATGCGAGGAATCTGACACTGCACTGTTGCCCTTCTGTTGTCTTGTACCAGTCTGGCCACTCTCCGTTCTGCCCTAACATTGACTAGTCGCTGACGGCCACAATTTGCACGTTCAGACCCAGATTTTCAGCTGACAGTCCAGTCTTTGAACACTGTAACAGCTGCTCTTGAGCATTTAACGAATCCTGCTGTTTTGCTGATACTCGCTCCATGGCTCCGCGCCAACAATCATCCCACGTTCAAAGGCTGTTAAATCGCGTTGTTTATCCATAGCTTCAGAAAAAAATCACTCCAACTGTCATGGTAAACAACCTGCTTCCCTATTTATAATGGTCTGGCCCTCTAGCAACTTCAGTGCGAAATACTAAACTGGTCACTCAGAGTGTGTGTGTGATCCTGAAAAGCTTTTATAGAAATTAAACAGAAAATGGTGTCTATGCAGAGCACTAAAAGGTTTGCTTGCTTTGATATAGAAAATATATAATTTTTTTGTATATCAATTAACAGTGGCAGTCTACAAGTAATTTTTATATCTAAACAAAAAGCCTGTGTTTAACTTCTAAGTCCATGCCTTTTCAGCTGTAACATTATCTCAGCGTGTGCGAACTCCAAGAAAGGTGTCTGAAAGTCAAGGAGAGCTCTTCCCCAAGAGTTCATTAAGTCTGAGCAGGTAGATAACATTTTGTTTGAAATGAATATATATTGTGTGTGTGACAAATAATATTTCAGTGTGCCATATTAAAATTAAATGCACAATTCTGAGGACAATCTATCAAACTATAAAATCATGTGACGTATGCTTCCCATTCCAGTAAGACTGGGCAATCTGTTTTCTCATGTATGCCCTAGAACCTTTTGCAAATGTCTGTTTATCCTGCCAGTAGAACAATTGAATAGGCCCTTTCTTTGGTTGAGTGAAAACAGTCTTCACACAGTGAAATCACTACAGGATAGTCACCTTTGCGGCTGCTGTAGGTGCAGCTGGGGCCTGAGGCTGTGGTGGGGCCCAGTGGGGTCCGGTCCTGGGCACCCCCACAGCCTCAGTGGGGTCCGGTCCTGCAATATAGGGCAGTGCGCGGTCCCGGTGTTCGAACATCAGGGCCCCGCACTGCCGACAGGCTTCTCAGTGAGGGGGCAGGTCCTGTGACTCACGTCCCGGCCGCGTCCATAGTAACAGGCGGCGGGAGGGAAGGTGAGTCACAGGAGGTGTGTGTGTGTCAAGCCCCGCCCCCTGCAGTGCACACATTGATTCGAAACTCCCTGGCTGGGTCCAAGCGGTGGGGGAGGGGGGGTGGCGGATGGGTTGTGTACTGCTTTTTCATGTAATTAGACAAGTGGATTATAATGGGGAACATTACACTGTAATGTTCCCTATTATAATCTATTTCTCTGATTAAATGATTAGACAGGGCCTCTGTTCTATCAAAGTTTGAGACTACGTTAGAATGTGTGACCAGTGACGTGGTCACACATTTTAACGTAATCTCGCCCAGTTTTTCGGCTGTGAAATAGGTGAAGCATTCCAGCGCTTTCTCCACTGTTCCAGGGCAGATCGGCATCGCAAATCGTATGTGCAGGATAACCGATTTGCCCTGAAACAGCTGATCGGTCCTGAAATGTCACTTCTATCCGACTTTGTGAATGCAGTGGAATGTGAGATCGCAGTCGGAGAGAAGTGGCATTTCTGTACCAATCAGCTGTTTCAGGGCAAATCGGTTATCCTGCACATGCAACTTGCGATGCCGATCTGCCCTGGAACAGCTGGGAAAGCGCTGGAATGCTTCACCTATTGGCAGTCACACATTCCACTGCCGAAAAACTAGGTGGGATTTTGTTAAAACGTGCAACCATGTCACTGGTCACACATTCTAATGCGGTCACAACCTTTGATAGAACACCACCATCAGGGGGGGTATGGCCAGTACCCATGTGAGGGGTCTGGGGGGGCCTCTTACATGGGTATCAACTGTACTGGGGCGGCATGGCAGAGGTGACAGGGGAGGGGGTGGAGGAGGCCGGGCCCCAGCAGCAGCAGGTAAGAGTTGGGAGGAGGTACAGGGAAAGGCATCCTGACGCCCAGCCAACCTGGGACCCTGCAGAGCCCACCATATAGAGTCTCAGGTGGGCTATGCAGGATCTATGGTATGCTCTGCAGGGTCTCGGGTAAGTCCAGCACGCTACTGCAACATTAGAGACCGCTGGGTGGGGGCAGTGTGATCTGCTCCAGCCCCCCCCCAAGATAAAATCTTGCACCAGGGCCCTGTGGTTATTGGGTCTGCCACTGCGCTTAGGCACTCTTGCTAGCCTCACCAGTGACTAACAGCACTCGCTTCTGCCCCCAGCCCATGAGATTGACAGCACCTTGCTCTATGTGCAGGAGCTTATGGGAAAATATGTAAAAATCTTGCCTGATCTCTCAAAGCCCCTTCAGCAATTTCTAGCAGGGTGCATAAGAAATCTAGCTGCAATTCCCATTAGGAGGTAAATTACATTAAATTAAATGCTCTTACCATGGCACATTCTATTCCTTATCATTTTAAAGGGGGGAAAAAACTAGAGACTTTAGCTGGACTTGAATATAAACTTCTTCAAGGACCTCCTGAGTAAAAAGTACTAAGTACTAAGAATTGAGTTTGATTGACCGTCCCACCTTATACAACCCTCCTCTTACATGTTTCATATTGTAACATGAAGTATATACAGTAGGCTGTATATTGACAAGCATTGTTGTTCCAATATCTCCTTTTAGGATAAAGCAATTTAAAGCTGCTCTCTTAAAAACCTTCAAGACCACACATTCCCAGTCTGTAGCCATTGGTCAGTTATTGGAATTGATTAATAAAGGAAATTCTGAGCCATTTGAGTTGTCTGAAGTGAAGAAAGCCTTGGACAACATGCAAAATGATAACCAAGTGATGGTGGCGGATGATGTGGTATTCCTCATTTAAAATGTAACTTTAAACAATATATATATATTCCACTTTTGTATGTGTATTTATAGCATAAAATAAACAAAGAGCTAATACACTGTCATTATTTAACTATAGTAGTACATGGGGATTCTTTAGACACTCTTGGAGAATATCTGAAAATAAAGTGGAACGCCATATAAATCCTGTTCTTTGAGGTGTTGTCTGGAAGCCAAATGATCTAGAATATGAATTCTAGACCAGAAAAAAACCTGACACAATCCTGCTTGAGTATCTTACAAACTACCCATTTTGTATACAGTACTGTTTGAATCTTTACAACAAATACTTGTCCACTAAAACTTTATTTAGCAACGCATACTCGGCTCCTGGAAACACATGTGTAACCTTCACAGTGGGCACAACTACATCTTGCAATAAAAAAAAAATAGAATGCGCATGTGACGTTCTGTTAGTTATCATGGGAAGTCGGCTTCTTAACTTGATCACAAATCTGTTTTTTCTAGGAGGACTTTTCCTCTAGCACTAAAACTTTAACTCCTAATAAAGGCTATTTTTGACTTTTACAGTTAAAATGCCACACTTTAGATAATCACACTGTTCTTACAATAACAGCCAGTCCTCTAAGGCAGCGGTCACCAACCGGTGGTCCTTGGACAAATTTTGGTGGTCCCCGGGCCCCTCTGATGCCGTGCAGGCTAAGCAGTCATTGAAGCAGCACAGAGGCTCTGGGGCTGCCTCTCACTGACTCAAGCAGCGGCTGTCGCAAGGAGTGAGCGGCTCTCAGTATAGTGCGGGCTCTGCAGGAGGTGGGGTTTCATCAGTACCCGAACTGAGCAGGCTGCGGACATAGAAAAAGTGGGGAGAAGCCGGGTAATAGTGGCTCAAAATGTATTCCTATGGTATTTTGACCTCCAGTTCACATGGCAGTGTGCAGGTCCAGAGCATGTAAAAAAACTGTAGCAGGCCCTATTTTACCTGCTCTGGATCTGCAAATGCATCAAAAAAGCATGCAAATGACTGGAACGCACTGAAAGCCCATGTTAAACTAAAAAAAATAATAATAATAATTTTTTAAGCCAAAAACACATAAAAAATGCATCTAAAAGACTAGCGTGCGTGTGCAGAAACCTGACCGGATCTGCTCTGCATTTGGTGTGAACAAGGCCTATGTGATTCGATTGCCCCCCTTTAACTTACTGCCCCAATCTCCCACTTCCCGCTTTGGGGCAGTAATGTGCTCACGCAAAGATACATGGCATGAATAGGCCCTAACCTTAAGTCAAGAAGACTTGAGCAGTCACTGATTTGATCATTGTTTTTAATAAGGGGCCTGGGCTGATTGGAGTGATCATACCAGCTTCTGAGCATCTGATTCTTTTTCTTTTAGAACTTGTAGATTCATCAATTTTATCTTACAACATTTTCTAAAAATCTGACCATTGATCAACCCTATTATAAAATCTGCAGAGTCTGGAACTATGACTAAATAAAAGAATAGTGGCATTCTTTGCATATTTAATACCCAGGGCTGCCCTACTTAACTATTATTTTTGGCAATAATAATGAAGTAAATGGTAAATAATGCAGACAGTGAAAGTTTTGGTTCTCGCGCTGATGTTCCATGAAGAAAGGTCCCTTGGAATAGTGGTTAGTAGCAGAAGGGCTCATTTATACTGGTAGTTAATGGGAAGAATACTCCTTTTATATTAGTGGTCAATAAAAAGAATGCTCACAGGATTGGTCACAGGGAGGTATGCTGCCCCTTCCAGATGGGGAAACCACTGACACAAATGATCTTTTTAGCGATCTCAGAGGCAGAAAAATTGCTCACTGCTCAATGAACCTCCTAATAAACCTTTGAAGGAACCCTGGATGAGAAAGGCTGGTATAGTAAAAACTATACATGAATTCTGTTATATTTTAATGATAAAATGCCATAATATGCATATTTTCATTGTAGTAATCTAAATACAAATGTGAAGATGATCTCATTAACAAGTAGACCATTTAGGTGCATTAATACAAATTATATAGTTCTCTCCACTTTATTTGGCTGTTATAATTTAAAGCTGAACTCTGGCAAAGCAGTTAAAACCACAGGTAACGAGA